CAGCCCTAACTATAAGCTTTATCAAAGAGGAAAGTCTTAAGTCTAGTCTTAAATGTGGAGACGGTGTCTGCCTCCCGGACCGTAACAGGAAGATGATTCCACAGGAGAGGAGCCTGATAGCTGAAGGCTCTGGCTCCTGATCTACTTTTGGAGACTTTAGGGACCACGAGTAACCCTGCGTTCTCAGAGCGCAGTGTTCTGGTGGGATAATATGGCACTATGAGCTCTCTAAGATATGACGGAGCTTGACCATTTAGAGCTTTATAAGTTAACAGGATTTAACCAACACACACATGTGGTTACGTTTAGCCAACACACACACACACACACACACGTGGTTACGTTTAGACAACACACACACTCGGGCTCCACTTAAGTAAATAAACATTTGGTGGACAGACCCCTGAGTAGAGCAACGATCGTTCATCGTTACATAGCAACTAAAAGACACCTTAATATGTATGTACTGTGGTGATGACACAGCTGCAGTTACCTCCTGTGACCACAGGTGTCACTAAATCACCCACAACTGAGCCCTGAACGCTTGTTTGCTCTTTATCAATAAAGTTTTAAATGTAACTTTCAGGTAACACACACAGGTAGGAATCCATTTTGACTCTGTGTGTGTGTGTGTGTGTGTGTGTGTGTGTGTGCGCGTGTGCGCGTGTGTGCGTGTGTGTGCTGTAAAACACTCGAGGACAGGAATGGATTAGCATGAACTAATTAGCTCGTCAAAACACAGACTGTCAACAGTGATTAAAAACATTTTGTGTGTGTGTGTGTGTGTGAGTGTGTGTGTTGAATTAATTAACAGAGTCATTAGAATTCATGTGCTGTTGCTGCTCGTCTGCTCTCTAATATCAACTCCACTGTTCAGGTCCCATGCAGGAGACCGTCTACGATTTCTGGAGGATGGTTTGGCAGGAGAACACCGCCGCCATTGTCATGGTAACCAACCTGGTGGAGGTGGGACGGGTGAGTCCACACACACACACACACACACACACACACAGTGATTGTTGGGGCCATCTGGTTGTTTTTTCCTCTCTGATGAAGTTTGGGACTGCATCTCCCAGAGTGCATCAGTCACGTCTCCGCTCTTTGTTTACTCTCTGTTGTTGGAAAGTTTTCTGCCTCTCTGTTTGTTCCTGTGGAACTCTGTACGGCTGTGGGTTTGACTTCACCTCTCAGAATTACATCCGTGTTTCACAGCAACATTTACAAGAGTGAGTTTTCCATGTAAATCACAGTTTACACAGACGACAGCGTCAGGTAGATTTTTGTCACATGTTGGCTTTACGCTGCTGTGAGCACTTAAACTTGTGTCTGCATCACCCTGCAGTTACACCTCCAAAACACTGGTTGGCAGTATAGTTTCTGTAAAGTTACACAAACCAGCTTCATCATAACTTGACAGATTCACAGACAAAAAACTGGACACATTTTCCCCACAAATACAACATGCTAACATTATTAGCACAAGCCTATGGCATTTTACATTGTATAAATTAGCGTAGCAGCTAGCAGAGATTTCCTCTGCTCATATTCAGCCAGGATAAATCACACACAGTGTGTGGAGGCTTTATTGTCTCCCTGTTGTGTCGTTGGATATCTGTGAAAAGTTTTGTTTCCACGGGTTTCTGGAGGTCTGCGTCACTGCAACGTGTAGTTACATTTCTGGGGAGGTGCACGTCCGGCTACAGCATTGGCGTCTATGCAGAGCCTACGCTGTCAGTACGGCATCGATTTGACGCAGAAGTATAACTCCTGTGTTTGCTCACTCATATATAAATATCATATCACAAACACATCTTGCACCTCATTTTAAGAAGAGCACGAACCAGTAACACTGTAAAACTTAAACACACAGTCTCTTTACCAGGCCTGTGTGGCTACACATTCTGATAAATGCAGGCCTGTCTCCATTAGAGGCCTGGTCTGGTGACAGAGCACTTTGTTTTTATAGAAGTTCGCTGGATGTTGACATTGGACTGTTGACTCCCCACCTGAGCTAACGTCAGTTAGCCGTTGAGATCGCATATACAGCTCTATATGTTTGAACTTGTGTCAGTGTGGAGACGCCACACATCGTTAACTCGCCTCATTTCACTGAAACCATGAGAACCAGAGAAGATCGTGACGCCGGGTTCCTACAGTCTCTGCGTCACATCAGGTGATCACGGAGTCATAAAATCTCGCCCTGACTTTGCCGACAGATGTGACACACTACATGTTGGTTCACAACCAGTTATTGCTGGTCGTCTTTGATGACTTGTATGATATCATCAGATTATTATCAACTTTCTTCTTCTTCTTCTTCTTATTATTATTATAATCATTATTATTATCATTATTATTATTATTATTATTACCATTATTATCTTAATGGCCCGAGCTACTAACTGAAGTTTACAGTCATTATATATGTATATATATGTGTGTATATATGTTTATACACACATATATATACATATATGCACACATACAGTACAGGCCAAAAGTTTGGACACACCTTCTCATTCAATGCGTTTTCTTTATTTTCATGACTATTTACATTGTAGATTCTCACTGAAGGCATCAAAACTATGAATGAACACATGTGGAGTTATGTACTTAACAAAAAAAGGTGAAATAACTGAAAACATGTTTTATATTCTAGTTTCTTCAAAATAGCCACCCTTTGCTCTGATTACTGCTTTGCACACTCTTGGCATTCTCTCCATGAGCTTCAAGAGGTAGTCACCTGAAATGGTTTCCACTTCACAGGTGTGCCTTATCAGGGTTAATTAGTGGAATTTCTTGCTTTATCAATGGGGTTGGGACCATCAGTTGTGTTGTGCAGAAGTCAGGTTAATACACAGCCGACAGCCCTATTGGACAACTGTTAAAATTCATATTATGGCAAGAACCAATCAGCTAACTAAAGAAAAACGAGTGGCCATCATTACTTTAAGAAATGAAGGTCAGTCAGTCCGGAAAATTGCAAAAACTTTAAATGTGTCCCCAAGTGGAGTCGCAAAAACCATCAAGCGCTACAACGAAACTGGCACACATGAGGACCGACCCAGGAAAGGAAGACCAAGAGTCACCTCTGCTTCTGAGGATAAGTTCATCCGAGTCACCAGCCTCAGAAATCGCAAGTTAACAGCAGCTCAGATCAGAGACCAGATGAATGCCACACAGAGTTCTAGCAGCAGACCCATCTCTAGAACAACTGTTAAGAGGAGACTGCGCCAATCAGGCCTTCATGGTCAAATAGCTGCTAGGAAACCACTGCTAAGGAGAGGCAACAAGCAGAAGAGATTTGTTTGGGCCAAGAAACACAAGGAATGGACATTAGACCAGTGGAAATCTGTGCTTTGGTCTGATGAGTCCAAATTTGAGATCTTTGGTTCCAACCGCCGTGTCTTTGTGAGACGCAGAAAAGGTGAACGGATGGATTCCACATGCCTGGTTCCCACTGTGAAGCATGGAGGAGGAGGTGTGATGGTGTGGGGGTGTTTTGCTGGTGACACTGTTGGGGATTTATTCAAAATTGAAGGCACACTGAACCAGCATGGCTACCACAGCATCCTGCAGCGACATGCCATCCCATCCGGTTTGCGTTTAGTTGGACGATCATTTATTTTTCAACAGGACAATGACCCCAAACACACCTCCAGGCTGTGTAAGGGCTATTTGACCAAGAAGGAGAGTGATGGAGTGCTGCGGCAGATGACCTGGCCTCCACAGTCACCGGACCTGAACCCAATCGAGATGGTTTGGGGTGAGCTGGACCGCAGAGTGAAGGCAAAGGGGCCAACAAGTGCTAAACACCTCTGGGAACTCCTTCAAGACTGTTGGAAAACCATTTCAGGTGACTACCTCTTGAAGCTCATGGAGAGAATGCCAAGAGTGTGCAAAGCAGTAATCAGAGCAAAGGGTGGCTATTTTGAAGAAACTAGAATATAAAACATGTTTTCAGTTATTTCACCTTTTTTTGTTAAGTACATAACTCCACATGTGTTCATTCATAGTTTTGATGCCTTCAGTGAGAATCTACAATGTAAATAGTCATGAAAATAAAGAAAACGCATTGAATGAGAAGGTGTGTCCAAACTTTTGGCCTGTACTGTATATATGTCCATATACATGTATGTGTATAAATATAGATGTAGATATCACAGCACAACTTGATGTGTGTAGTTTACTGTCAAACGTCTCGTCAGCACTTGCTGTAATACTGCCGTTCAGTTTGTGTGCTGAGAGTTGACTTAGTGCCATTTATCGTTGAGGAGAGGAGTTTAGGGGGTGGAGGGTTCCCACCAATCATACTGCGGTGGTCTCAGACATTTTAGTTTCTGACATTTGAAAAGCGGAAATAAAACGGACGGCGTGCGGCAGTAAGACGAGCAGTCAGGAGCTCAGAGCTGAGCTGAGCCCTCAGTGATGCTGCTGCTGTCAGACAGAGGGAACGAGACTCTGTTTCCTCCTGAAATTGAAGGATTTAACCTGAGATCACACACACACACACACACACACACACACACACACACACCTGCAGGCGTGCTCCTGGTCCCAGCTCTCATTACCCAAAAGGCACCAGGGATCTGCTCGCCCTCTCCAGGAGAGATTCTGGGATAGATCAGGCTGATTATCTCCCTCCGTCTTTCTCTGTCACTTTACCCTGATTTAACCCCCCCCCCCCCACACACACACACACACACACACACACACACACAGACACACACCTTTCAGCTCGTTGGTTGCTGTGGCGACAGTGTGATTAGTTCAGCAGTAATTAGCTGTTAATGAGCAGGGGAGGGGGGCGGAGCTTTTAATGAGATTTTAATATCAGCAGCTTTTTTTCTGTTTATGTTTCTGTTAAATTAATGAGACCAGACTGAGACGATAATGTGTGTGCGTGTGTGTGTGTGTGTGTGTGTGCGTGTGTGTGTGTGTGTGCGCCCAGGTGAAGTGTTGTAAGTACTGGCCTGACGACACGGAGATCTACGGCGACATGAAGGTGACACTGATCGAGACACAGCTGCTGTCAGAGTACGTGATCCGGACCTTTGCTGTGGAGAAGGTACACACACACACACACACACACACACACACACTCATTATATCTAACAGGTGTGTCTCCGTCAGCTTCATAGACACGAAACATTCTTCATTGAATAGAATCAATAAAGTTTGTTTGTTTTCAACCCTCGATAAAAACCAGTGACAACGACGATAAAACGACATCAGACTGTTTTCCCTGACTTAACAATGGCACGTTTACACACCGACACAGTGGGCGGAGCTTCATGTACCTTTAAACTTGGTTTGTGAGCCGCCAATAAACACAGAGAAGAAGAACTGTAGCAGCTCTCAGGACGGAGAAACGTGGCGGTGTGGACATCTGTCAGAGCTCCACAGGAAGACAACAGGACGACGCCGAGGGTCTGATCTCTGACCGCCAGACACTGGTTAGACGCAGCGCTGAAAGAGCATCTCCAGAGTGTTAGCACGAGCTAATTAGCAGCAGCAGCTAAAATCCAACAGCAAGCTCAGCTGTTGTACCTGGTGGCTGTGGGCTGGTCTATGGTGGGACGGTGAGACGGCGCCTGGGCGTGATGATGTCAGGCGGAGCTGGCGATGTTGATGTGTCTGTCTCTGTTAGTAGAGTGCACAGTAACACTGGGCTTCATCATCATCATCATCATCATCCTCCTCTGTCTCAGCACTAGTGGTGCAGACCACACAAACACACAGAGTAATAAATGACAAATCTATCAACACTTTTCACTCTGCTCATAAAATTGATCGTTTCTCAAAAACTAAATAATGATCACGTTCAAGTAACTGACGACGAGTTTTAAAAATATTTCGTATTAAAATGTTTTCATTTTGTAGAATCTGATCATTAGAAATACTTTAATCAATCAATATGATTTATTGACTCACAGCTCAGGTCGTACAGATGTAATGGATATGAGGTATTGATGACACTCCAGGAAATTACATCATAATAATCAAAAATACCGCCATAGGCTCAGGCGACTGCAGGTGAGCATGGACGAAAAGTCGATTTCACTGTCGCTGTCTCTTTGTGTTTCAGAGGGGTGTGGCTGAGATCAGGGAGATCCGTCAGTTCCATTTCACCGGCTGGCCAGATCATGGCGTGCCACTTCACGCCACCGGCCTGCTGGGCTTCATCCGCCGCGTCAAAGCCAAAACTCCGCCCACCGCCGGCCCCACCGTGGTCCACTGCAGGTACGTGTACGCCTGGATATTGGTTACTCATATTAACACTGCAGTTTAAAGTCTATATAAAGTGTGTGTGTGTGTGTGTGTGTGTGTGTGTGTGTGTGTGTCAGTGCGGGGGCGGGGCGTACAGGTTGTTTCATTGTGATTGACATCATGCTGGACATGGCAGAGAGAGAGGGCGTGGTCGATATCTACAACTGTGTGCGAGAGCTGCGTGCACGAAGGGTTAACATGGTCCAGACTGAGGTACACACACACACACACACACTATACAACTACACACACTCGACACTGATCATCTGTCACTGCAGGAAAACAAAAACAGTGATCATAAACAACAACAAAACAAAAATACTCAGGAAGAGTGGAAATAATGACATTGTTAAAAACTGCAAATTCTGAGACACAAAGACGAGATGAGCAGCGTTTAGTGGCATCGAGCGGCGTTTAGTGGCGTCGAGCGGCGAGTCTGTGCAAACTCACTTTACAAATGAAAATCTATGAAATGAATTTGCCTTCTCATATTTCATATTTCCAGGGAACATCAGAGTCTGAGCTGTGGGCATGTCCACGCTCGCCACTGTTAATAGGTTCATTGGAGATGAGCCAGGTCTGCGCAGATTCGATCACTGGCGATCGGCGCACAATGCATGCCGGTTAGTTTTGTGTCCGACTTTATCCCGACTTGCTCTGACGTATTACAAAAGTGGACGGCGATAAAACCGCGAGAGCGAGACGGCCGCAGGCCGTGTAGTCAGTGGAGAGCAGCTGCAGCACCTGGCTCTCACCTGATCTAACAGCTGATTGGTTCAGATGTCGACTCAACAAGATGACGTTTTAGATAAACTTTTAGTTTTTTGTAGAATTTTAGAGATTAAGATTGTATTTGTCTGATCTGAAGGTTTATTGTGTGAACAGAAAACATGTTGTGTGACTGATGGTGAAGTTTAGTCGTCACAGACTGAATACATTCATCATAAACTATACAGAGTCTACTGTGTATTAACACTGGACGCTTTAATTATTGAAGTATTTAGCAGCACAGAGACTGGTGGTCAGTGGGATGTGAGGATTCTTAAACTAACATATGAACAGATGTGAAGCCCTGACTGTATCTGACTGAGCCTTAATGAAAGCTGTTGTCTTGTATCAAATATGAAGCTTACAGTCAAACACAGTGTATTCAGACTATGTAGAAAAGGAGACAGGTCAAACTGATATGATGCTGATTTACAGCAGAGTTCATGAACCATGAACATAAACTACAGATCACCTGTAAAGCATTTTAATAAATTAATCTATCATAATTAAAACAACTGGAGACTGAAAACAAACTGATATATGGGTCTGATC